CATTGTTGTTATTTTTAGAAATTGCTTGATAGTTTCTATTTTTAGAAATTGCGTCATTGTTTCTATTTTTAGAAATTGCGTCATTGTTGCTATTTTTAGAAATTGCATCATTGTTGTTATTTTTAGAAATTGCGTGATAGTTTCTATTTTTAGAAATTGCGTCATTGTTTCTATTTTTATATGCCCGAAAGAATTTCGGGCATATTATGTTATACCCCCTGGCGTCCGTCTGTCCGTCCGTCCGTACGTCCGTCCGTCTGTTAGCAATTTGGTTTCCGGAGCATAACTTTAGTTCCATTTGGCCCACAGTATTCAAACTTCATAGGATGATTGCCCATATTGAGTAGAAGACCCCTATTGATTTTGGGGTCATAAGGTCAAAGGTCAAGGTCACTATTAGCTAAATACTGAAAATGGTTTCCGGAGCAAAACTTAAGTTCCATTTGACCCACAGTATTCAAACTTCATAGGATGATTGCTTATATTGGGTAGAAGACCCCTATTGATTTTGGGGTCACAAGGTCAAAGGTCAAGGTCACTATCATCTAAATACTGAAAATGGTTTCCGGAGCATAACTTAAGTTCCATTTGGCCCACAGTATTCAAACTTCATAGGATGATTGCTTATATTGCGTAGAAGACCCCTATTGATTTTGGGGTCACAAGGTCAAAGGTCAAGGTCACTATCATCTAAATACTGAAAATGGTTTCCGGACCATAACTTAAGTTCCATTTGGCCCACAGTATTCAAACTTCATAGGATGATTGCCCATATTGGGATGAATACCCCTATTGATTTTGGGGTCACAAGGTCAAAGGTAAAGGTCACTATTAGCTAAATACTGAAAATGGTTTTCGGAGCAAAACTTAAGTTCCTTTTGGCCCACAGTATTCAAACTTCATAGGATGATTGTCCATATCGGGTAAAAGACCACTATTGATTTAGAAGTCACAAGGTCAAAGGTCAAGGTCACTATTAGCTTAATACTGAAAATGGTTTCCGGAGCATTACTTAAGTTTCATTTGGCCCACAGTATTCAAACTTCATAGGATGATTGTCCATATTGGGTAGAAGACCCCTATTGATTTTGGGGTCACAAGGTCAAAGGTCAAGGTCACTTTAAGCTTAGTACTGAAAATTGTTTCCGGAGCAAAACTTAAGTTCCCTTTGGCCCACAGTATTCAAACTTCATAGGATGATTGTTCATATTGGGTAGAAGACCGCTATTGATTTTGGAGTCACAAGGTCAAAGATCAAGGGATTACTATCACCTTTAAACTGGAAAAAGTTTTCGCTCAATAACTCAAGTATTAATCGAACTACAGCTGTAAAATTTTATAGGATTAACAGCTTTATACCCCTGACGTCTTGGTGTCCATCCATTGTAGCATTTTTACTTACAAGATAACAACTTGATGGTGGTGCTTTGAAAACAGGAACTGTATATATACATGAATGTTCTTCAGCTATAAAGGAGGATTGCTTTTTGAAGGAGGTAATACTGTATTTAATTCCTATGTCTTCCTCACTAAAAGAAAAAGTACTTTCGGGCATATAATGCTCCGCCTAGCGGTGCTCTTGTTAGAAATTGCGTCATTGTTTCTATTTTTAAATAGCGTCATTGTTGTTTTTTTTTAGAAATTGCGTCATTGTTTCTATTTTTAGAAATTGCGTCATTGTTGCTGTTTATAGAAATTGCGTCATTTTTTCTATTTTTTGAAATTGCGTCATTGTTGCTATTTTTAGAAATTGCGTCATTGTTTCTATTTTTAGTAATTGCGTCATTGTTTCTATTTTTAGAAATTGCCTTATGTTGCTATTTTTAGAAATTGCGTAATGTTGCTATTTTTAGAAATTGCGTAATGTTTCTATTCATATATATATATATATACAAAATATATAAACAAAACTAATGTGACAAGACAGACCAACTAAATTTATAAAAAGGAAACGTTAAGATATGTTCAAACCTTTCTATGTTTGCGTTTAGAAAAAGTAAAAAGTCGAGCGTTGCCCCTGCCCGGCGGTGGCTCTTGTTTTGTTTTGTTGCAGAATTTCTGCTGAAAAGTTTTTGCATCGCCTGCTAGAGGGGGTTAATTAGAATGAATGCTATGTGTTAATTTTATACTTGAATCCTCAATACTTTTAGTTGATGTCAATGTTTTATTCATGACTAGTGTATTAAAATAAAATGAAATATAAGTATGTGTATAATATTTATTTCAGAAAGTCAACAGTAATATTTGTCACTATTTGTATACGATTATTATTAGATATTATTACATGCTTTTTGGTGGTTTAAAGAAATATATCAGTGATATAAAACTGATAATTTCACTGTTTTAAACAGTGAAATAATCAATTTGATAATTTCACTGTTTTGAATTTAAGCCCCAAGGTTGTTTCAGTGAAATACTAGCGTGCAAAATACTGGGAACCAATTTAATGACGTGACGTCGTAAATGATGTCACATTGTATTATTATTTGGCTCACTTTTCATTCAGTATTAGGTTTAATGTCTTTTTAAAACGTTTCTTTGCATATAATAAAAAGAAAATTTGTTTAGTTTAGTGCAAGAGAGAAATATATTTCACTTTATATACCTTTTGGTGCTCACTTGGTGAAATATATTCCGATTTTACACTGAACTAAACAAATATCCTCTATATATCTCAAAATTATGTTTAATAATAGACGTCTTGAATAAAAATGATCTTGAATCCAAAATATAATCACTTGACAAGTGCATATACTTCTGCAACAAACAAAGCAATCCATATTTTCAAAAATATAATCTGTAATCAAGTGATTTTCCATAAAAGATCAAACAGATTTTTCCATTTTACGCAGATGCAATTTATCATGATGTACTGTCTGCAATTATTGCTGTCAAATGTCAATAGAAATCACACCTGTGTTATGTACAGAGAATAACATGCTACTGTCTTTTGATATGAATTTTATCAGGTGAGGCTGATATGGGTTAGAAAGAGGCTGATATGGGTTAGAAAGGGGCGTATAACCGCCTCCGTGGTCGAGGGGTTAGAGTCGATGACTTCTAATCCAGTTACCTCTCTGGCGTGGGTTCGATCCCCGGGAGATGCTTTGGTAGTTTAGCGCGGAGGAAGGTAGTCTAGTACTGGTGTAACTCTCCAGGAACGATGGTTAGGAAACTACCCGCCTATGACTGAAATACTGTTGGGAAAAGGCGTAAAATGAAACAAACAAACAAACAAACAGAAAGGGGCGTGGCAGGCCGAGCCCTTTCTGCCCATATCAACCGAGTCTGATCAACTTTTGATAAAGTTGATATCAAAAGACAGTAGCATGTTTTTCTATTTATCATGTAACAGATAAAAACTGTCAAAATTACAAAATAATTTACTTTCAAATAGCAAATTGTGTAAAAAGGGGCATTTTTAGCTTGACTTTTTTTAAAAAAAAAGTAGAGTTATTGTGATAGTCGCGGCGGCGTTACCTGGATCATAACTTTTTTAGTTCTTGGTGTATTGTCTTCATACTTGGCCACAACAACCCTTGGGACAAGACCTTTCAATAGACCACACTAACCTTGACCTTCATCAATAAATGACCTTGACCTTCAAGGTCAAAAGTCCAAATTTTGCTTGTTCTTGCTAATTATTGGCTGTGACTTTGTTATTTTTGAATGGATTGTCTTCAAACTTGAACATAATAATCTTCAAGGATAACCCTTAAAAATAACCAGACAGACCTTGACTTTGAAGGTCAAATTATTGAAATTTTCATTGTTTTGGTTGTAACTGGCTGTAACTTTGCTATTATTGAAGGGATCAACTTGATATTATAATAGAACATTCTTAAGGACAAGAACTTGTTGTTTATCAAACCCAAATTGACTTGGGCTCTTTAATGACTTTGACCTTGAAGGTTAAATTACTGAATTTTCTCAGATTTGTGCATTAAATGACCATATATATTTATTGGTGTGTATATATATGTTGTTGTTGTTGCTGCTGCTGCTGATGATATATATATATAGAGGATATTTGTTTAGTTCAGTGTAAGATCGGAATATATTTCACATTGTGAGCACCAAAAGGTATATTTCACGAGTGGCGCAGCCACGAGTGAAATATGAACTTTTGTTGTTCACAAGGTGAAATATATTATGATCTTACACTAAACTAAACTAATTTTCCTTTTATTATATGCAAATAAACATTTTAAAAAGACATTAAACCTAATACTGAATGAAAAGCGCGCCAAATAATAATACAACGTGACGTCATTTACGACGTCACGTCATTAAGCTGGTACCCAGTACTGTGCACGCTGGTATTTCACTGAAACAACGTTAGAGGCTTAAATTCAAAACAGTGAAATTATCAAAGTGGTAATTTCACTGTTCCAAACAGTGAAATTACCAGTTTTATATCACTGATATATTTCTATAAACCATCGAAAAGCATGTAATAAATATATATATATGTTGTTGTTGCTTGCTGCTTCTGCTGCTGCTGATGATGATGATATATATATATATATATATATATATATATCATCATCAGCAGCAGCAGCAGCAAGCAGCAGAAATAACAACAACATTTATAGAATGCATTGCGTGTATCTATTTATAGAATGCATTGCGTGTATCTATTGATAGAATGCATTGCGTGTATCTATTTATAGAATGCATTGCTTGTATCTATTTATAGAATGCATTGCGTGTTTCTGTTTATAGAATGCATTGCGTGTTTCTATTTATATATACAAAATATATAGACAAAACTAATGTGACAAGACAGACCGATTTAATTTATAGAAAGGAAACATTAAGATTTGTTCAATCATTTCTTTGTTTGCTTTTAGAAAAAGTAAAAAGTCGAGCGTTGCCCCCGCCCGGTGGTGGCTCTTTTTTAACTGAGGTTCAGTTGAAATACAAGAGAGTTAACAGTGTATGATTTATTAGTGCTTGTGTTTGTATTTTAATTGGACATTTCTTTGGTGATTTTACAGAATATGAGAGTTTTGTTCATGCAATCAGATGGAGGCCTTACTCCAGTTGACTCGTGAGTAACACTTAACACTTAAGTTTATTTCTGGCTACTTAGTAAAATGCAAGCCATTTTATTGACTTCATAAAAAATGTAGTATCCATTATGGACTGAATTAATTTAATGTGGCATATCTATGTGTTAACAAGTTTCAAACAAGAGCTGTCTTAGAGCAGCGTATTTCTCCTATTATACGCGTGAAAATTTTTCGGGATATAATGTTCTGCACCTGGTCGTCATAAGTCTGTCTGTTGGCAGGTTTTGTCCATTCTTTATCAGTGGAAAGAAATTTAAACTTCTTGGCAGAAATGTTAACCATAAGGAGACCTTGTGCAGATAGCAGATTTGACCTTCCTCAGATCAAGGTCACACATACCGAAGCTTGGTCTGTTAGCGTCATAAAAAACAAAGGATGATTGTATATTTCCTGTCCTTATTTTGTCACTGCAGGAGACAAGTTTGCTTCTTTAAAAAAAAAGCATGCGAGAGGTCTTTTTACAGCTGTTGAGGACCTATTTAATTGTTCAAATGATAGGAAAGTAAGAACTTCTAATTAGTCGAATGGAATCTGCGAACAAAAGCAACATATATCAGCTATTTCCGTCGGTCTCTCAGATTAGGAATATTCGGTGACGTGTTCTGAAGTTAAAGAAGCAGTAAAATTTCCATACACAGTTCATTAGGTGGTCATAAAATAGTGCTTGGTGATATTGTTATGAAATTACTCTGTTTTAATAGAAATCTGTCTAAACACATTTTCGCTAATATTGTCCAAGTGAAAGCATGATTATAAAATCAGTTAAAATAAAATCTATGCATCATACTTGTATACTAGCAACTGTCTAAAAGCAAATTTAACACTTAAATAACAACAACTCAACTCAACAACAACCACTCTTCAACTTTAATAAACTCAAAGAACCCAAATAAAAAGCGCATGCAGCTAGCGTGATTTATGTGCAAAAATGGACTGGCGCGCGACCAACTTGCGGAAACCAGTCTATATGATTCCTTGTACGACCTGAATGCTGTGCTTGCTAACATGCCTTAACAATTTCAAAATGGCGCTAAAGTAGTTCATACTGTTGTGCAATACAAACATAAATACAAAAATACATAAACATACATGTTTACTCAATAGCATAACATTTGTTCAACATTAATACAAACATGAGTTGTTGAAAAATGATTGGGTCCGAAGCTTATATATTTATAAATGCTTTGTTTTTCAGTATTCTAGCTCCACTTAAAAACCCAATCAACGATGAACTTGTTTTTGATTCAAAATTGAAATCTGACCTTTTGCATGTTTTGATTTTGCAGTCATTCATCGTAAAGAAGTCATTTCAATTTTGCATAAAAAAACAGTGCAACTTAGTGCAGCAAACTCTTGCAAATAGTAAATATATTTGTACTTCTTATGGTATACAAGATTGATACACTAACTTTTGATTAACTATTCTTTGTCAGCAGCAGAAAAATAAACTGAGAAAATCCCTTTTATATAGCTCACCATTTCCACCAAGTAGATCTACATGCAACCTGTATATAGACATAGCAGTAAGGAATATCATTCATAAAATCTGAATTTTTTTCTAAAATAGTACTTTAAGTTTGCGACCTTTTGTTGCGCGACTTTACCATAATTAGAACAAGCGTGCCTGGGAAAGACGTGATGAAGAATGATCATATCAAAAAATAATAACTGAGCTGTGCCAATGACCTGGATTGTTAATGACCCAATTGTTTTACAACAAAATGGTATACTGTCCTAAAAAGTATACTCCTTTTCAAATTTCACAGTATTGTAGCTATTATAAATGTTGACTGTCACTTATTTTTCGAATTCGCTATTCATAAAACAATAAACAATTTAATACAGTTGATCTTTATTTTTCGTTTGAGAAAAGTCCTATTTTGAAGTGAAACATGTGCATAACAATGTTTGTAGACTGGTTCTAATGAATTTTGGCTGAAATTGAGATTCATTAAACTCAATTTGATACACAAAAATGGATGATGCTAGCAATCAACCTCAACACTGTGGAGAGGTCTGATGACCTCTCCAATAAAAGTAAAGAAAAAAATTATATCTGTTTCCAAACAGTTATGCTTTTTATAAAATAAACTATATTATTGTTTGACAGGTTTCTTGGGTCTCGAGCCATTTTATCTGGTCCAGCAGGAGGAGTGGTAGGTTATGCTTTAACAACATATCATAAGGAGTCACACATGCCAGTCATTGGGTTTGATATGGGAGGTAAGTTGTCATATGTTTTTAATTTAAATTTTCATTTTTTTATATGCCCGAAAGGGGCATATTATGTTATACCCCCTGGTGTCTGTCCGTCTGTCAGTTAGCAATTCGGTTTCCGGAGCATAACTTAAGTTCCATTTGGCCCACAATGTTCAAACTTCATAGGATGATTGTCCATATTGGGTAGAGACCCCTATTGATTTTGGGGTCAAAAGGTCAAAGGTCAAGGTCACTATTACCTTAAAACTGAAAACAGTTTCCGGAGCATAACTTAAGTTCCATTTGGCCCACAATGTTCAAACTTCATAGGATGATTGTCCATATTGGGTAGAAGACCCCTATTGATTTTTGGGTCAAAATGTCAAAGGTCAAGGTCACTATTACCTTAAAACTGAAAACAGTTTCCGGAGCATAAACTTAAGTTCAATTTGACCCACAATGTTCAAACTTCATAAGATGATTGTCCATATTGGGTATTATAGCATAAAATCGGCTATTTTTCCTTCTTTTGCCCATGTTATAACGGGACCAAAACCATGTGTTAACATAGTCACGCGCTCTTGTTATAGCCCGGTTTCACCTATGCGCAATACATACAGGGCCCAGTAAACAAACAAACAAAAAATGACGATTTGGCCTGTTTGCCAAACAGTCATGCGCTCTTGTTATATTGAAATTTATTGATTCGAGGGCCTCAGTCGCATATTCAAGTAACTATGCCGGAAAAACGGCGTATAGACATCGGTGCTAATCTTGGTTGTCGCCCTTTCTAAGAAACGGACAGTTGTCAATGTAAACAAACACAGTAGAATCTACCTGTCATTCAGTGTAACACTCCGATTAACTTACAAAACTAGATAACACAAAATTAATATAAGAAAATGTTTTTTATTTATGTTTATGTTGATAAATGCTCTTTATATTTCTTTGAGAGAATAATGCTGAGTGCCTGATTTTTTTGTAAACTTGTTTGCTTGAGAAAAAAAACCGATTCTGATGTCACTGATCTTTTTCTACCGTCAATCTGAAATCATTCTAAGAATTTCTGAGGGTCATGTTTTGTCTTGGGTGGAGGGTAGAGTAATGTAACGTTTTTTTTTTCTGGAGATAATGAATCTCCAAAGGCCAAGCTTTGTTAAATCAATTAAAATTCAAAATTTCGTTCGGTTCCGAGAATTTTCCAAGTTGTTGGCCCCGGAAAAATGAAACGCATACGTAAAACATAGAATTGGATAAATACCGTCCAAGCACAAGAATGTAATGTAATTGTGTTTTGTATAAACTATACATCACGAATCTGTTTGAAAATTTTATGCTATAATAGCGTCAACGCACGTTTATTTCGTGTTATAAAGTCTGCAGAGTCCCTCGGAACTGTTGGAACCCTCGCCCTACCGGGCTCGGGCACCAACCGTTCCTCGGGACTCTGCAGACGTTATAACACGGAAAAACGTGCGTTAACCCTATAGAAGACCTCTATTGATTGAATGTTGGCTCACGCACCCTAGTACACCATCCTCATCGTCTCAGCCTACTTTGTAGGGCCTCTCCCCTCGGCATTAGTCAGGACACCTAATGCCAGGACACCGGCAGCTAACTTAACGAAACAGCCGCCTTACCGCCTTAAACGATTATAACTCGAATCTTCCATCATCTGCCGATGCCCTGTGCCTTCTCAGCGACGTGCACGCTCCGAGGGGAAGTGAGAAGTTTATAATGTCACATTTATATGCATATAATTATGCTTATAAAACAATTTTCAAACATCGAAGAATATGTAAAATATGTACTGCAAACATTTGTGCACATTATATTTGATCACTAAAATCATATACATTATTTCTTATTGAAAAATTTGACTGAGAAATTATAGAAAATAAATTTCTAATTACCTCCCTTTATTTTCATGAAATGTTAAACTTGGTAATACCTTTATAAATAAGGCTTTTTGAAATTTTCAATATTGATAAATATTAAACTGAGCGTCATATTTATGACATTAAAACAAATATATTATATAAATTGAAACAATAAGAACACTTCTTTCCTGACAAATTTTCATACATGTACACATGATATACGACCGATATGTAGCATGCCGATCATGATTCGTAGTTTTTCCGGGATGTCGTGCCCACGTGCATAAGCTGTGTCAAATTTGGCATTTCTACAAAGATAACAATGCCAAACACTCACACTGTCTATAACATACCAATCGTAAGATTTTTGCGAATTGGCTTTCTTAAATTTTCGCGTAGGTGTATCAGAATCAGTAACTTTCTTTTACTGCTAGGTTTGGGCATTTCGCCCTGTAGCCATGACGTGAGCGACATAACAATTTTTAATTGATGTTAACGGACTGAAATCATTCAAAACTATGATTAAGTTTTTAATCCGGTCGCTGATCATTAATGAAATTGATTATTTTTAATTGACTAACAGTTTTGTGATAACCGTGAAAAATCCATTGCACATCGCCTTTACTCAGGTAAAACACTGTGTGTATATCAATTAGGGAAGATTTGCCCGTGTTTAGATGATCGGGAAAAGACAATCTATAATGATCGCCAAATCCCGTATTAAACTCGCAAAACTGTCACACAATTATACCCGTTTCGGGCCGATGCTCTCATTATTTACTGTTAAGAGTAGGCGGTCTATCGCTTTGCATACAGGTAGAAGGGTAGTATAAAGCGACGCTCTGATTGGATAATGATAATTAGCAGTCGTCATATGGGCGGATACAATCTCTGCTCTTTACATCGCCAAGTAATTACTCTTTGGGAATTAAGATTTTATCGGCGATGTTGACTTCTCTTTGAGCGAAATGGAAATATACTTCGCCCTTCCGGATGAGCCCTGCCCAAGGGGGTCATTGATTTTTATTACATGTATAAAGTAAAAACCAAAAATAATCTTCTTGTGAAAATCAGAAAGCCCTAAAGCTTAGATATTTGGCATGAAAATCTTCTAGTGGATGTCTACCAAATTTGTTCAAATAAATGCCCTAGGGTCAAAATTGGCCCAACCCCAGGTGTCATTGATTTTCCTTAAATGTATATAGTAAAACTTTAAAAAATCTTCTTCTGGCAATATGAAAGCACTAAAGATGAAATATTCGGCATGAAACATCTTCTAGAGATTGTCTAACAAGTTTGTTCAAATAAATGCCCCAGGGTCAAAATTGGCCTCGCTCCAGGGGGTGTTTGATTTTCCTTACATGTATATAGTAAAAACTAAAAAAATTCTAGTGGATGTGTACCAAGTTAGCTCAAACAAATGCTCAAGGGTAAAAATTATATATATATATGCATCTTTTTGGAGGGCGAACATGTTTTAAAACAATTCCTGCATGTATGTGTAATCAACAAGTGTTTATCGGCATTTCAACACCCGATCTATTTGCTTCTATGCGTATACTGATAAAATCAACAGTCATTTTAAAATGTAGGTACATCAACAGATGTAAGCAGATATTCTGGACAGTATGAACATGTGTTTGAGACAACCACTGCTGGTGTCACCATACAAGCTCCACAGGTAAATATGTTATTTCGCACATTGAAATAGTTTTTTTTTTGCCACCTCAACGTTTGTGATATGGTGGCATAAACAATTCACCTGTGTGTATGTGTGTGAGTGCATGTGCGTACATGTGCGTGTGTGTGTGTTTTAGATTATATATTGAACTTTTAAAAAAAATGGTAAGTCCAAATTCAACCAAACTAGGCAGGCTTGTTCGTTGGGTTAAGGGCTTCCAAAATTGTTCAAAGAATTTGATAATATGCAGGAATCTGGTGTCTATGGCAACCAAAAGAATTTATAAGAAAAAAAGAAAAGAATCTTCCCAGCCACAAATAGAGCACAATTCAAGTATATTATAAGTATATTTGAAGCTCTCTGGTAAAGTATATAAGAAGCTTGGTTGCGGTCCCTGCTTCATATGTGCTTTCATCTATTTGTGGCCAACACATAGGTGAAGGTCTTTTGAAATGCGGTTCGAATTATGCTAATTAGGCTTCAACAGTACTTCCTTAAAGTATCTTTGGAGTATCCTTTAAAGTACATTTCAAGCTTACATATTATGTGCATTCAGTGTAATTATGCAGCACACTTGAAGCCTATAAAGAAGTACAGATGAAGTCTCAGTAACAGAAGCATACCTGAAGCTTCTCTTTGAAGCACACATGAAGCATATAGTTGAAGTACAAATTAAGTCCCAGTGAAAAAAGTACTATTGAAGCCCCACTACAAAACGTAAATGCTCCAAAATCAGTTAACATTTTTAGACTTCTCTTGAAGCTTTAAACTTAATTAATTAATTACAATTAAGGTATATTACACACATCAGGAAATCACAAAATCTCACCGGAACACTTTTTGTTAAGGTGAGCATTACAGTTTCAACTTTCAACTGATATACAATAATAATTCATTAAATGTTACATCAAAGAAACTTATTCAGTCATTTCACCTACATTATCAAATATGGTTCCATGCATAAAGGTATAACACTATAAAACATTTTATGAGCATAACATTCAATTAAATTTAAAGTTATACATGTCCTTGACACTGTCAGTCTTTTCCAAATGGATTCACTGGCACAATGCTGGTGTGATTTTATATGATGGGAATACCTCATCTGCATTCTGAAAAAAAAAAAAAAAAAAAAAAGATTTTTTTACAAAATAGTTTGATACAAATGTTCACCATGATAGGGTTGTGTATCACACGCAAAACCCAAGGTAACACTAAGGGGGAGGGGGGATTGGGGGGGGGGGGTTCGGCCTAACACCTGTGTCAGAAGCATAACTTCTACATGCGTTGGGGGATTTTAATATAGTTTTAGACAAATATTCTCCATTGTGAGGCGGAGTGTCGCACCAAATATTCAAGTGTCTGTGGCAAAGGCCAAGGTCTTAGTTCAGGGTGAAAGGTCAGATAACAAATTAAAACATTCATTTGTGTGTATAACATCTATATACATCTATATCTTGCTTGTTCTTTAAAGGATTACAAAATAATTTGGTACAAATATTCACACTGATGGGATAGTGTGTTGCACACAAAACCCAGGTCGGCCACTCAAAGGTCATGGTCACACTTGGGTTGTCAGGACAACTTTGTCCAGAGCATAATGTCTACATGCTTGGCAGGGTTTTAAAATAACTTGGGGGAAAAGTGTTCTCTATTGTGAGGCGGAAAAAAATCCAGTTGTCTGTGTCAAAGATCAAGGTCTTACTTCATGTTCAAAGGTCAAATTACAATTAAAACATTCATTTGTGAGTAGAACTTCTATATACATTGATGGATTTTAATGTAACTTAGAACAAATGTTCTCCATGGTGAGTTGAGTTGTCTTGAGCAAAATGAAGGTCAAGGTCACAAGTGGTCAAAGGTAAAAAAAAGATTTGTTTCTCTGCACTGTATCTTACTTATGCTACGTATTATGCTTAGTGGGGGGGGGGGGTCATTTAGATTTATCCTTGTCTGTCTGTCCATCTGCACTACCAAAAAGGGATAGGGGGCCATCTTACTGTAAACAAAAAAAGAACATTAGAGTTCATTCCTTTACAATAGAGTAAGGTGCCATTGGCCCTCTATTAAACAATAGAAAATAACAAAAGAAATGGCCCCTTATTCAATTTTGACCGGATGTCTGTCCTGCAGTTGTCCATGCGTTTCTATTTTATGTCGCACATAACTCATAAAGTATTTGACCTAGAGTCATAAAACTTCACAGGAATGTTGATCAGCATGTGAAGTTGTGCACCTGAGTATTTTCTTGTGGACTTATTTAGTATTTTTTTAAGTTATTGCCCTTGACTTAGTAAAAATTTGCAGTTTTCAACTTGTGTCGCAAGTAACTCAATAAGTATATGACCTAGAGTCATGAAACTTTACAGGGATGTTGATCAGCATGTGTAGTTGTGCACCTGGGTATTTTAGTGTGGATTTATATAGTATTTTTATAGTAATTGCCCTTGCCTTTGTAAAAATTTACAATTTTCAACTTGTGTCGCACGTAACTCATAAATGTTGGTCAGCATGTAAAGTTGTACACCTTGCCTGTGGAATTATCTAGTATTTTTAGAGGTATTGCCCTTGACTTAGTAAAAATTTGCAATTTTCTAGTTGTTTTGCCTGAACTCCAAAAGTATTTGGCCTAAAGTCATGAAACCTTACAGGAATGTTGCTCAGCATGTGAAGTTATGCACCTGGGTATTATCGTGTGGGGTTTCGCTTGTGGATTTATTCTGTCTTGTCTGAGTTATTGCCCTTGACTTAGTAAAAGTTTGTAATTTTCAACTTGTGTCACACGTTGCTCAAATAGTATTTGACATAGGGTCATGAAACTTTACAGGAATGTTGATCAGCATGTGTAGTTGTGCACTTGGGTATTTTCTTGTGGATTAATTAAGTATTTGTAGAGTTATTGTCCTTGACTTAGTAAAAAATTTGCAATTTCCAACTGTAGGAATGTTGATCAGCATGTGAAGTTGTGCACCTTGGTATTATCGTGTGGGGTTTTGCTTGTGATTTTTTTTGTTTTGTGAGAGTTATTGCCCTTGACTTCGTGAAAATTTGCTATTTTTAATTTGTGCTAGCCGTGCATAGCTCAAATTCTATTTAACATTGAGTCATAAAACTTTAATAGGAATGTTGGTCAGCATGTGTAGTTGTGCACCTTTGGTTTTGCTTGTGGATTTATCCAGTTTTTGTAGAGTTATTGCCCTTGAATTAGTAAAAACCGTTTCATTAGTTTGTGTCATTTGTTCCTGGAGTGGAGTGCTTGAGTTAAAATCAACCAACTTTACAGGAATAATGATCAACATCACTGTGAAGCTATACACCTGGGATTTTGTATGTGGATTTTTTTCAATTTTGTCAGAGTTATTGTCCTTGATTTAGTATAAATTTGCAATTTTCAACTTGTTCATGCATAGTTCGAAAAGTATTTGACCTGTAGGCCTGAAAGTTTACAAGAATGTTGGTCAGCATGTGTACTTATGCACCTTGGGGTTGCTTTGTGGATTTATTTAGTATTTATTTAGTAAAATATTTTTGTTTTTAACTTGTGGCAGATGTAGCCCCAAAAATATTTGACCTATAGCAGGCTTTCAAGCAGGCCCTACTTTTCCTACTTTTCCTTAATTTTTTTTTTTAAAGATTTTTTTAAATCATTTGCTAAAAGTAAAAAAGTGGAGTGTTGCCCCCGCCCGGCGGTGGCTCTTGTTTATGTACAGCTATGAAAAAATATAAAAAATATATTTTGCATGAAGTATTATTGTCTAGTGATCAACATTGTTCAAACCTTGTAATAAATACTTGGCTTTCACAACTATTACACAAAAAACAATCTGTCCTCAGGTGAGCACTAGGGGAACGATGGACCCCTTGTTTCACTTTGAACTTTGTCTGGGACATAAGCCTGAAACTGCAAGAGATATTAACAAGAGTTTACTTCTCTTTGTACAAAACCTATCTTTGGTACATCCCGGTTCAACTGGCTCTTGTTATGCTCCCCGAAAAATTTCGGGGGAGCATATAGTCGTCGGGTTGTCCACCCGTCCCGGGGAACGAGAGGACACTTGTTGGGTACCTCCGACACACGAGAGGACAGTTGTTGGGTAATTCTATTCATTCCGTCAGTATTGTTGGGTACTTTTGTTTTCTTATTGGGTACTTTTAAACAAAAGAAGTACCCAATAAATGACCATTCGTAGGAATGTCAGTCAGTCGGTCCGTATGTACGTCCCCAATTCGTGTTCGGCCCATAACTTTGTTATTTGAAGTCGGATTTTAAAACTTTTTCACAGAAGTGATCACCATATTGAGACAATGTGTTGCTCGCAGCATTGACATCACTACCTTGAAGGTCAAGGTCACAGCATGACCTTGCAGCAGAATCGTGTCCGGCCCATAGATTCGTTATTTGAAGTCGGATTTAACAACTATTTCACAGAGATGATCACCATATTGAATCGACGTGTCGCATGCAACATTTGGGTCGCTACCTTGAAGGTCAAGGTCACAGCATGACCTTGCAGAAAAATGTCGGCCCATTACTTCGTTATTTGAAGTCTGATTTTTCAACTATTTCATAGGAATGATCACCATATTGAGACAATGTGTCATGCACAACATCTGGGTTGTTTTTACACTTTGAACTTTGTCTGTGACATAATTGACACTACCTTCCTGTGTCCAAAACCTGTTCGGGGAGCATCAATTGGTTCAACCGGCTCTTGTTCTTATTTAGTTGGTACATATCTTTGTTATTTATCCCCTTTCGCAAAGCGGAGAGGGGATTAAAGGAACAGCCTCCATCTGTCAGTCTGTTGATAACACTTTTGTGTCAACTCCATAAAGAATAAACCACCTTTATGAGACTATGTGCAGAGCGCAATAATTGGGTTGCTACCCCCAATGTCAAGATCACATTTAAAAGTCAAGTTTTAAACAGACTACATTTTTTGTCCGCTCTATAACTTTAAACCACTGAACATTTTTATGTCGCCTCGGCGGAGTAGTGG